TGGTGGGGCCCCCATTACTGAGAGGGGTACAGGGGCCCCCCCACCTCCCAATACACCTGTAGGAGGGGGGCCCCCCTTAGAGGGGGGGGCCCCCAAGACACTTTTCCTATAAGAAGGAGAAACATCATTAGGAGGTAATATACTAAATGGTAATTCACCAGGAGGAGATATAATTAGGGGCCCCCCTTCCTGCTGCTGCATTAGCTGCTGCTGCTGCTGCATTTGCTGCTGCTGCTGCTGCATTTGCTGCTGATCAAGGAAGATAGTTTGTTTATCTCTTGCATGCAACATCTGTAGAAGAGCAGCAGCAACATTTGTTGTATTCTCTAATAAACCTTGCTGCTGCTGCACTTGCTGCTGCTGCACTTGCTGCTGCACTTGCTGCTGTTGTTGTTGTTGTATGTATGCTGATGGTAAGAGTGCTGCTTCTTGCTGCTGCACTTGCTGCTGCTGCACTTGCTGCTGCATTTGCTGCTTTTGCTGCAGCTGATTACCTTTTCCTTTTCCTCTTACTCTTCTTATTCTTTGCTTATTATTATCCATACTAGGAGATAAACTACCTGCTGCTGCTGTTGTATCTACTGCTGCTGCACTTGCTGCTGCACTTGCTGCTGTTGCTGCTGTTGTAGATGGTATACAAGTGTCTCTAATAATTTACCATTTATACTATTCAGACTAATTTGTTCCTCCTGCTGCTGCTGCTGCTGCTGCTGCTGCTGCTCCTGCTGCTGCTCCTGCTGCTGCTGCTCCTGCTCCTGCTGTTCCTGCCCTTGCTGTTCATGTTGCTGTTGTTGTGTGTTATTGTTATTCTTCTTTTGCTGCACTGACACACCACCAGCAGCAACAGGTGCTGCTGCAGTTGTTGTTGCTGCACTTGCTGCAGCAGCAGCAGCACTACCACCACCATCAGCAGCAGCAGTAGATGCAGCAGATTGTTGCTGCACTTGCTGCTGCACTTGTTGCTGCTGTTTCTTAATATTAATTTGTTGCATCTGCTGCAGCAATTGTTCCATAGAATTTTGTCCCTCCTCTTTCTGCTGCTGCACTTGCCCTTTCTGCTGCTGCCCTTGCTGCTGCACTTGCTGCTGCACTTGCTGCCCTTGTCCTTGTTGTTGCTTCTTATATTTAATACCTATATGTTGCTGTTGTGTATCTTTCTCCTTTTGTTGCCCACCACCACCACCACCACCACCACCTCCTCCCTCCTGCTGCCCCTGCCCCTGCTGCTGCTGCTGCTGCTGCTGCTGCTGCTGCTGCTGTAGTTTATATTGCTGATAAATAGTATGATAAATATCTTGTTTAAAGTTTCTATATCCAATAAGAGAAGAAAGACAACGAAAGAAGAATAGTTCTTCTTGTGTATGTGCATGATTACATTTATATGAATATTTACATTTATTTAAATAAATATAATTTATACATATATTTGTTTTATAAAAAGATAATGTATAACGTAATTCATCACGATTATGTGCAAATTTACAGCTTTCTCCTGTATATATACATATACACACATATATATTTATATATTTATTTATTTTATTTATTTATTTTATTTATTTTATTTATTTATTTATTTATTTATTTATCTATTTATCTATTTATTATTCATATTTATATCTATACCTATTTATTTATTTATTTATACATTTATATTTATATTTATGTATATGTACATGTATATATGTATATGTATATGTATATGTATTTGTATATGTACATGTATATATGTATATGTATATGTATACACAAAGAAAAGAAGAATAATATTTATTATTTATATACAATAAACAACATAATACATAAATATACATAAATATTTATTTATTTATTTATTTATTTATTTATTTATTTATTTATTTATTTATTTATATTGTATACAACATAAAAGAGTAAGACAAACATATAAATAAATAAATAAATAAATAAATAAATAAATAAATAAATAAATAAATAAATAAATAAAAGAGAACAATAAAACAACCCTAACATATAAATGTGAATATGTGTTTGCTGCTGCATTTGCTGCTGCATTTGCTGCTGCACTTGCTGCTGCTGCTGCTGCTGCACATAACTAAATAAATAAATAAAATAAATAAATAAATAAATAAATAAAATAAATAAAATAAATAAATAAATAAATAAATAAATAAATTACCTTTATTACATGGTTGGTGTATCTTAATAAAAGGACAAATCTTTGTCTTATCTAAGACAGGAGGATTTCTTAATTCTTCCTTATTATGTGCATATTTACATTTATTATTTATACATTTATATTTATTATTTATATTATTATTTATATTATTATTATTATTTATATTATTATTATTATTATTTATATTTATATTATTATTTATATTATTATTTATTAATGTATTTATATCTCTATCTATTATATATTTATTTTCTTTTTTTATTTCTTCCTTATTATTATTATTATTATTTATATTATTATTTATATTATTATTATTTATATTATTATTTATATTATTATTAA